AATGACTGTCTGGAGCAGAATGATAAACTACGGTAGAATGTCTGGCTGGTCTCTGCTGTGCTTCCTGTAACTGTTCGTTGGTGTGGAAACAGCTTAGCAAAAGAGGAAGTGGCATTAAAGCGGAGGCCTTCTCAATTGTAAAATGATTTTGATTATAAATGGTTTTGACAAAATATCTATGATTCTGTCAAAGTATAACAAAATCATATACCAATGTGTGGATGTAATACATTGTGATCCCATTGTGTTTCTGTATTAGGAATGAACAATTGATCTAGGTTTTAGGCAAGAGACAAGTTAATGACAGATTGGAGGCGACTATAATAATAAACAGACACAAGGGAGAAGCAGAATTCAGTGGATATGTCATTAACTCTCAATGAATTCAATATCTATCAAGTATGTGTTTAAGTTGAGGATTGGAAAAGCTGGGTTAGTTAAGAACAATACGCTTTAAATGGTGCATAGACTGTTTTATTGATCTAGGGAAGAAATGGGAAGTGGTTGAGAGGTTGCAGGACGTCCAGCAAAATAAAAAAGGTCCGTCTAGTCTGGATAATGAGTCGTGACCTTCAAATGTCCTTACATGGTAAAGTGATGTCCTATTGGCCAAGTTCCTTGTTTCCTGGACAGGTCAAAGGGACAGGGTTTTGCTCATCTGGCTCTCACACTCACTCACAGATCTTCAGCCAAACACTCAGAAGACAGGCTGGGGGCTAGCCCCAACCTCCCCTGCAATCCCAGCTCAACCGCATCAGAGAAACATGAGCCAGAAGAAAGAAGACTCATGATCAGACATCTCAAATTGTCCAACTAGTGGACGAAGATGAAGAGGCTATTGGCTTCCGGGATAGAATAGGTGGCATCACCAGAAGAAGACTGACCAGAATGGTATGATGCTCTAAATATGCTCCAAAGAGATAATAGGGAAAGGAACAGGAATAAATCCCAAGAAGAATAATTAGGGAAAAGAGAGTGGTCTTTAGAGCGAATGGACAAGAAACCGAGACAGACCAGCCTGGGATGAGGCTCCAAGATGTTCAGAAGAGGCTATACAGGTGCTGGTCATTAAATTAGAATATCATGAAAAAGTAGATTGATTTCAGTAATTCCATTTAAAAAGTGAAACTTGTATATTATATTCATACATTACATACAAACTCATATATTTCAGATGTTTATTTTGTTTAATTTTGATGATTACAAATGACAACAAATGAAAATCTCAAATTCATCATATCAGAAAATTAGAATATTACTGAAGACCAATAAAAACAAAGGATTTATAGAAATGTTGGCCAACTGAAAAGTATGAACATGAAAAGTATGAGCATGTACAGCACTCAGTATTTAGTTGGGCCTCCTTTGGCCTGTATTACTGCAGCAATGCGGCGTGGCATGGAGTCGATCAGTCTGTGGCACTGCTCAGGTGTTATGATAGCCCAGGTTGCTCTAATAGTGGCTTTTAGCTCTTCTGAATTGTTGGGTCTGGTGTATTGCATCTTCTTCTTCACAATACCCCATAGATTTTCTATGGGGTTAAGGTCAGGAGAGTTTGCTGGCCAATTAAGAACAGGGATACCATGGTCCTTCAACCAGGTACTGGTAGCTTTGGCACTGTGTGCAGGTGCCAAGTCCTGTTGGAAAATGAAATCTGCATCTCCAAAAAGTTGGTCAGCTGCAGGAAGCATGAAGTGCTCTAAAACTTCCTGGTATGTGGCTGCGTTGACCCTGGACCTCAGAAAACACAATGGACCAACACCAGCAGATGACATGGCACCCCAAACCATCACTGACTGTGGAAACTTTACACTGGACTTCAAGCAACGTGGATGAAGTGCCTCTCTTCTTTTCCTCCAGACTCTGGGACCTTGATTTCCAAAGGAAATGCAAAATTTACTTTCATCAGAGAACATGACTTTGGACCACTCACCAGCAGTCCAGTCCTGTTTCTCTTTAGCCCAGGCAAGACGCTTCTGACGCTGTCTGTGGTTCAAGAGTGGCTTGACACAAGGAATGCGACAGCAGAAACCCATGTCTTTCATACGTCTGTGTGTGGTGGTTCTTGAAGCACTCACTCCAGCTGCAGTCCACTCTTTGTGAATCTCCCCCACATTTTTGAATGGGTTTTGTTTCACAATCCTCTCCAGGGTGCGGTTATCTCTCTTGCTTGTACACTTTTTTCGACCACATCTTTTCCTTCCCTTCGCCTCTCTATTAATGTGCTTGGACACTGAGCTCTGTGAACAGCCAGCCTCTTTAGCGATGACCTTTTGTGTCTTGCCCTCCTTGTGCAAGGTGTCGATGGTCGTCTTTTGGACAACTGTCAAGTCAGCAGTCTTCCCCATGACTGTGTAGCCTATAGAACTAGACTGAAAGACCATTTAAAGGCTTTTGCAGGTGGTTTGAGTTAATTAGCTGATTAGAGTGTGGCACCAGGGGCCATCAATTTTGAACCTTTTCACAATATTCTAATTTTCTGATATGATGAATTTGAGATTTTCATTTGTTGTCATTTGTAATCATCAAAATTAAACAAAATAAACATCTGAAATATATGAGTTTGTATGTAATGTATGAATATAATATACAAGTTTCACTTTTTAAATGGAATTACTGAAATCAATCTACTTTTTCATGATATTCTAATTTAATGACCAGCACCTGTAGAAAGACACCTCATCATAAAGCTGAGAGCTTTAGATCATTTTTAGACTGACCTTAGACTTATCGCTGAGAGGAAGGTGCTGCCTCAGGGCTGCTGGTAAGAAACCATTCCTTTTGAAAAAGATCATTTTTACCACAAAACAAAGTTAGAAAGGTTAAGCTTTGCACAAGTTCCAAAAACTGTCCCTAGCAGGATTTCTCTTAGCAAAAAGGAGGTTGATGTCCTGAGGAGTTTATTGTTTAAGGACATAAGCTAACATTGTTCCATCCCTAACATGACAGGCCAGCTGAAACAAAATTAAAAGGGGTTTTGAGATTTGAAAGAAGGATTATGTTGATTTTTCATTTCATATTTTGGTTTTATTTTGCTTCTATTATGCTATTTATTTTCCTGCCTGAGGCTTGATAATTAAAGAAAAGTATACTCCAGTATACTCATGGTCAGTGAGTCTCTGAGTCATCTACATCCTGAAGATGAAGACAGTCCCACTAGTCTGTTTTCACTTTAAGCGCTATGCAGCCCCCTTTTTTTTTTTTTTACCCCTTAACATTCCTGGGATTTTCAGCTAAAAATGCCTAAATACACCTAGAAAAGGCCTTTCCAAATTCAAACTTTTATAGCTCTTGAGCCATATTGAGTTAAAAATAAAGTTCTGGGCTTCATGTAAAGAATAAACTCGCTAGTTTTTACCTGTACATTCTGATTTACTCCAAGTGATTAACTCCATGTGGTATGCTTTATAAAACAGCTCTGAAAAGTTTTCACCTGGATTTTCTATGTGAAAATAATTAAGAATTGTACTCCAGCAGGCCAGGAAAGAACTATTTGACACAATAGAAACACTTTCTTATATCCTGGCAAGCAGCCTTCCAAATGTAATTGGAATATCTGCAAAACAGTATTTCTAAAAGTGCTCATCTAGGACTAGGCCATGCCACCACTTTTGTATACGTCAACATAGAAACAGACCTCCTTGGAAAGACAACAGAGGAATCAGACTAAACTGTCAAAATCTTTCAAACACATGTTTTTATTGAAAAAAATATATATAAATGGAAAAAAAACCACTTCAGTAAAAAAAAAAAAAAAAAAACTGTATACAAAACATGTAGTGAATCATCTTGCAGCAAGTTATCTCTGAAATTTTAGGTTCAACCCATACAGAGCATATATCATCCTAAGTAGCTATACATTGGCTACACATTGATGTGCTGAGTTTTTTTTAGGTTGGATAGGTCGGACAAGGAAGTCAAAATCTGTAAGCATGATTCGCGCCGATTGGCTTTCTGCTGTCCCAGCCTGCCCCCATCGTCCTGGAACTGGTCAAACAAGGTGTCAATCAAGCCAGAACTTTCTGATCAACGGGTGATAGCATCAAATGCGTTGTTTTTAGCACCTTTTGAGTGAAAATAGTAAAATGTGGTGGTGTTTTTTGCTGTAGTTGAGAGGTTTTTTTGCAGTATTCGTGCCTTTGTGGATTTTATAGGACATTTGGAACCCTCATTTTACCGGATTATCTTTTTACTGGCTGGTCCGAGCAGAAAAAGGCCAAACTTGTTGGGAAATATTGGAGTTTTCACAACAACTAAAAGGTAAGAAAATGAACTTTTTGAGTTTTGTGTTGACCTTAATTAAACATCTGTGGTGTTTGCTGAGGTTCATCATGCTTTGTATCAATGGGAAGAGGAGAACGAGAGCTTTCTGTAGATAGGCGGACATGCTATGTTGACATTGAGATACATATGTGTACATTTGCTGAAAGTTGGTCGAACTCAAGGAAGTTTTAAATGGTCACCTGTAGAATCTAAATATCCTGTGTATGTTTTTTTTTTTAAGAATATATATTCTGGCAGATATACAACTGAGTCTTTTTAAAGACCCATATATCGGTATCGGCCATTTAGAATTCCATATTGAAAGGCTCTACTTATCGCCCACTGACAGCTGGAGATAGGCACCAGCACCCCTCTCGACCCCAATTGGGACAAGCGTGTCAGATAATGGATGGATGGATGGATGGAAGGCTCTACTTATGTACTAAACATAAACGTTCAATTGATTGTTTTTTTTTATTCTCTCCGCCCTCTGGCGCCATGTTTAGGCCTTTCCATTTGTAAACATGCACAGAAGCAATCAATGTTTCTGTCTAACATGTCTTTTTTATGTGCAATCTTTTTGTTTGCTTATATTTCACTAAAATACGCCTCTGTCATCCCACAGTTGTGTTCAGAAAATCCTGATTTCCTTTTCTAATATACCTTAAATCATTAGAACCTAGTGAAACATTTGTAGTAAGAGAGCAGCTATCAGTCACTGAGGAAGGGTGGCTCACCTGATGACTGCTGGAACTCTGCTCCTCCGAGCGAGGCCACGTTTTCTGTGATGGGCTTCATCTTCTGGTCGCTGATGTCACTCCCCGAGTCGTACTCCTGTTCGTCGTCGCTCAATGACGACGATGAGTCGCTCATGTCCTGATGAGATTTCCCTTTAGACTTGGTGGCCTCCATGGTCTTCTGCTTTCTGGTTCCCCCCTCCTCTTCTCTCCTCATGAGGTGAGGCTTCCCGATAGTCCTCACCGTGTTCAAGTTATGTATTTCCTTCTGAGAATCTTGGTCGTCGCTCGAGGAATCTGTCCCGCTCTCCTGTCTGGCTTTAACCCCCCTGCCGCCCGACTCGGACTCAGAGGAGCGGTCCATCATCTTACGTTTGCGCCGTAGCTTCTCAGGCGACATGGGGCTGTTCTTGGTCAGCCAGAACAGACACTTCTTGGCCACCTTCTCGGGCGGCGCCTGGCTCGCCTCTTCGTCGCTCTGAGGTTCGTCGGAGCTCTGCGTCATCGCCGCTCTTTCCAGGAGGGCGGCGGGGACTTCATCTGAATCTGAATCGTCTCTCGACCTGCTCAGATTTTGCTCGTCGTTGCTGGCGACAGGTACAGCGTCAGGGGTCTCCTCAGGGTCAGAGTCACTCTCGCTGTCTCCCCCGGAGAGGGACGGTTTGGCTATGATGTCACTCTGTCGCCTCAGAGGAGTGGTCTTTAAACGAGGGGATCGTCTGTTGCCTTGCTTCTCCTTCAGGAAGAGAGGTGTGGCGGAGGCATCAAAGCACATCCGTTTCTTGTCTTTTGGACTTGCAACTTGCGCTTCCTGATCCTCTGTGAGTTCCTTCTCAGTTTTGTTTTCCTTCTCTGGGATGTCGTCCCCCAGCTTTAGGACATCTGCGGATTGATTCTGCTCCACAGGTACAGGTGTGAGTTGTACAATGAGTTTTTTAGACATATCCATGTCACTTGAAGACGGCTTCAGGTCAGAGCTCGGAGAACACAACTCTAGTTCCTTTTCAGAGCTGTCGCTGGTGATCGTCAGGTCAATGTAACCTTTGGAATCAGAGTCATTGTCTTCAAATTGCTCAACTGCCAGTTTCTTCAAGTTACTCAAGCGTTTTTCATCAGACACATCAAGCTCCACGTCTGCGTTTGTCAGATTACAGTCGTTGTTTAGGATCTTTTCCCAGTTGCTTGCCACGTCCAGGTCTCTGAATTCCTCCTTCAGGTTCTCCTCCAGGGCTGTCAGAGACTTTCTCAGGCCTTTGACCACGGCTAAGAAGGATTTTAGATATATGGAGCGGATGTTGGGCGCTTTCTTGCTTGTCGTTACTGTCTCAATGAAACTGACGAAGGTTTGATTCAAGGCATTTGTGGATTCAACCAGATGTTTGGCCTTCTTGGTGATTTCCTTGGAAACCTGCAGGTTGTTGTAGTTGAAGATCACATTGCCGTCCATGCCACTGTGGTCCCACTTATCCAGAGGAATGTTCTGAGGCGAGTGCGGCAACATCGTATGGTACAGCTCCGACTTCTCCGGCTCTGCTCGGCTCCTTCGCCGCTGCTGAGACCACAGAGGCTCTACGTTCTCCAGGACAGTGTTGCACGCCATCACCAGGTCAAAGAGCGGCTCGGGGCTGCACACGTAGCAGTACCACTTGCTCTCTAAGATGCCGGAGAGCTCCTTCCTTCCCAAGTTTCTGAGGATGCATTTCTTGCAGAAAGCATTGCTGCAGTAGTCACAACAGATTAAGTTGCCACCTTCAGCACACCACCTAAAAAAAATAGAAAAAAGATTGGCGACAAGAAAAACAGAAGCTTTAAACGCTTTATATTTCGTATAAAATAATTTGATATATCCTAGAAATCTCACCTGCACTGCTCATCCATGCCGTCTCCATCCTTGCTGATATCATCGCTGGAGTAATATTTGTAACACGCCTACCAAAACAAAAAGCATAGTCAGTTTCAGACGACCAACATTGGTTCTCAAATATAAAACCTGCTTGGATATTTCTGACTCCACATTCAAATATGCAACTATTTCAAAGAGCTGTAACATTTTTTTTAAGATTGTACCACAAAAGGGGAAAAATATTCATCACTCTCCATAGTTTTGATTTAAGGGAAGAACAGAAATAAAATGCTTTGGTTTCTTGATCTGCAGCTAGATGAAACACACAGTCTGCCAAAGAAAGCCAAAGGATAGTCTAGGAGAGTGATGATGAGGTCTTTTACTGATTTCATCAAAATTCTTATATTTTGCAAAACTGCAATTGAATATTTTTTCATATATCACATGTCAGGTGTTCTGCAGCTGGACGTTGGCGCCTTTAAAGAAAAGGAAAACAAGACAACCAGACATAGTTGGAGGATAAAGGCGCCAAAAATAGTTGTGGTTGAAATATGGATATAGTTCATGTGTTTACATCCAGTGCTGCCATGTTGTTTTCAGAGTTATCGCTTGACAAAAAACAAAACAAAACGTATTCTTAATTTAAATGAAACCATGAAATAACCCATCCCCTTGGGTGGCAGTGGGCAGCCACTGTATGGCACCCGGGGGCAGTGTGGGGTTAAGGGTCTTGCTCAGGACCCCAGAGTGGAGGCTGTGGGGATGTTTATCATTCCGGGTACTTGCAACCTTCTAAGAAAACAAGCGCACTGCTCTAACCACCAAGCCTACACACCCCAATAAACAAACAAAGCCATTAGGGCAAGGAGCAAGTGTTGCTGGTAGAACATTACATTTACATTTTATACCTCTCTATTATTTTTACTTATTTTAATTTTGTTTATCGTATTTTTCTTTCACTCATTTGTCTTCATTTGCGCATCTTATTAATTTGCCAACTATAGCTATGTTTTAGTGTTACTCCTGTTTAATCATGTAAACTACTTTACTTGTAAGTTCAACCCAATGCTAATACCTTTAAAGTTGCTTTAAGTATATTGTAAGTGAAAAGCACCAGACTAAATGTGGGATTGTATGTATATTTCTACGCAAGTTAAAAGTTAAGTAAAATAAATAAAAGTTTTTTGGGGTTTTTTTTAAATCCTGTTTGTTTCTGTTTACAGGTTTCTGGATTCTGACCTACCTTGCAGATGAGTACTTTCAGAACCGGATGCTGATAAAGGGAATCTCTCCGGAAGTGGTTAACTTGTCGGCCACACGCAGTGCAACAAACAATTCCCACATTTTGCTCTCCTGGGAAAAATACAATAAACATCATTATTAAACGTGCTGTTATATAAACTATCTGTTGGACGATCAGTAGCAACACAATGGTAATAAAAAACAAAAATCAAACAACCACAAAACATTGTTCTTTTAATTCATCAATTGAATAAAGTGATCTGTTTCGTCGACTGCTGCTGCTAATGAGATGAAAGGATTTAAGCTGTGAAGCTGCTGACCTGAACGTTTCTTTGTAAACTCTTTCCGAAGAACTCCTGGCTTGCGACTGCGAAATTCTGGCCCTCTGAATTCATCTCTTCCGTTGTCCACTGGTTCTGGTCTGACCAGCACCGTACCTGTTCAATCAAAGACGTGTTTTCTCAAACTTCTATCCAAACTTCCAATCATAATTCTATATGTATACATATCTGTTCATTTTTTTGCATCGTTAAAAGTCTCTTCAAACAAAGCAGAGGAGGCTCAGCAGTACAGAGCTGTATCAGCGACCTTTAGGCAACCTGGTGACATCCAGGTGTCCGTTAGAGCTGACAGGTCGCCCAAAGTCTTCACTCGCGTTCGAGTCTCCAGATTCATCCAGTCCTGAGTGCTTCACAACGACAGAAGGTTTCCTAAAACAAATATAAATTACAGAAGAAACTATAAATAGAACCAGGGATGTTTAAATGAAACTATCTTTCTATAAAAGCAGTTCTGAGTCCTGGGGGTAAATGTCAACCTTACAGTGTTAACTTCACTGAAATAACTAAACAATAAACTCACCTCCTTGAGTATCTGCTGTCCATGTCAGCCTGCAAAACAAGGCAGATTGTCGGTTTTATTTTAGAGGTTTTTTTTTTTTTTGCTCCAAGCTTAGAAGCAGAGCTGCATGTTTCTTAAAGGCCCAAAAGCAGACTTTGTCCTAGAGAGTTAACGCATACGAGTTATTTTAAAAGATTCCTTAGGCTTATATACAGCACTTGACACCATCAATGCTACCAACGGGGCTCCCCTCTTGAAATATGAACTATGTAAGTTGGGATCAGACGCACTGTCGTTAGCCAGGTCCTGTATATGTATATATATATATATATATATATATATATATATATATATATATATATATATGGGGTGTAAATAATAATCGTTTTGTATCGATACATCGATCCAACAGCTGACCATCCGATGCATCGACACCAATGTCGTAAATATCGGCAAGCCTCGTCACTGACACTTGGTAGGCCCCCTTAACAATTGTGGACTAGGACGTCTCTTTGCAGATATAATGGTGTGAAAACTTCCTTTTAAACCCACCTGACATTAAGATGATTGACCGGACCGTATTTATACCCCAACACGTGCCAGACTTCAACATGATGGTGAGCCATTTAAACGCAACACCAATAACAAAGCAGACAGTGGTACTTTTATTTACTATGTTAATAACTTTGAATAGTTCATTAGATGGTTGGTAAAAAAATACACTCATGTGTTTCAAACTGCAATAAAGATCTTAAAAGAACGATGTATTTGAGTATTTTATTTTTTACAATACCACTTGGAATTATGGGTAATCAAGAACCATAACCGTTACGTAAAATGTGTTAGCGACGATGGATACCAAAACGAGGTACTTAAGCGGATTCCAGAAAAGAAAAAGGAAAGAAGAGCTGCTGGAAGAACAGAAAAAACATCCCACAATAAACACGTTCTTTCGAAGAACCGAAGAGCAATGGCGGAAGTTGCTGCTACATTGAGTAAAGATTGCGACCAGGAGATGAATGGAGAGCATGGGTGAGGAGGGGAACTGTGAAGCTCAAGGTATACTGCTACGCTCACACCGCAAGAGCAGCAAAATCGCGTCTGCTGCTTCATTTTTGCTGCTTGTACCAGTTAGTTTTGACGCGCGGCTGAAGCAGCTTTGCTGCTCTGGCTGCACGGTGCAAAAGTGTGTCTGACGCGCTTTGGGCAGAGCTTCACTATCCTTTCTCTGCCTTGCAGCTATATTTGCTGTGATCAGTGGGTATAAAGTAGTTTTAATATGTTTTAAAGTCAGAAAATCCACCTGAAAACTTCATCAGTGCAGTCAGTTCATCCAGATTACAATCCTGCCTACCAATACTATTTCTGTCTGAGCCACTTAGACCCCCACATACCAGCGGTGCGCTGACAGTAGGATCCCATTCAACAGCAGCCTCTGGCCGGGTCGCTGCTTCCGCCGCGCCTGATGCATCCGGTGTGAACGTAGCATAAGACTCATTTTACAGCAGAATATACTAAAAATATATACTATACTTTGTATGGGGTTCACCCAGATAATGTTGCTTACGGGCCTATTGTTGTGTTGTTACACCACTGATCGACACATCCGCAAGAGTATCAATTCATGTTTTTTTTTTCTTCTCCGGTCTCTTTTCATCCATTTGCTACTGGAACTTTTTTATTAATATGCATAACAATATTAGAGCTTTCACTGATCTATTTCAAATTTGAAACATTGTCTAGTCTGTAATATATAAAAAAAAAAAAATTAATCGAATCGTATTGTGGTGTATTCTTGAGTATCGAAAATAATCGAATCATTGGGTCAGGAAATTGATACTGAATCGAATCGCCATGATGGATGTCATTTACACCCCTTTATCTATATATATATAGATATATCTATATATATATAGATATATCTATATATATATAAATATATATAGCGATACAGCTCACACTGTATGACAGCTTGCGATGTTTGTTCTCAGACTGTGCGGCCAGACGCTATAATGAAATCTACCTACTCATACTGTACGTCCAAAAACTACAGGTTGGACTGAGCACCGAGAGATCGCGTTGGTCAGACTCATCAATCTGGAAAAAGAAGAACTCCCTTGTTTGCACCTACGCATGGCATGAGGTTCTTGTAAATCAGCTTGTAGCTCTGTCTCAACAGCAGGATTTGTCCACTGCTCCTTACGATGGCGCACTGAATTTCAAACATGTTTGATTTTCTCCTAACCTTACGATTCCTGATCGGGAGGTGGTCGTGAGAGGCTGATCGCCCCTCACTACCCCTTGTATACTACACGACGCGTCATGAGGAGGAAACTCGGCCTGATTGAGAAATTCTGGCACGACTGGAGAATCTGCCCAAAGACGGGAAGTTGAAAAATTATCGTACAGTATGTGAGTGGCTTTATTTGCAGTTAAATATTTGTAACAAGTGGATATAGGCAAATTAGATGTAGGCACAGGGGAAACTGAGATTGATCGATGCATTAAATACATTACAAAGAAGATGAATAATAAAAAAAAATTTTAAACCCTTCTTATCACCATCCCCCACACCAAACCAGTACCTCTGAAGCATTATCCTGTGGTGAGTTCCCCACAGTGAACCGTTTGTTTCTCTGACCTGTGAACAGAAGATTCGTCATTTTATCAATGAACAATGAGTTTCTGTTGCTTTTGACTGAGTTTGTAAAAACAGAAATACCATAAGACGCCTCTGATGCTGGGGAGCCATTGCTGTCCTCGATGCAGGAATGAGCCAAATATTCATGAAGCTTGTTGACCAATAAATTCAGCTTGTTGCCGGAGGTACCTCTGTGAATAAAAAAAAAAAAAAAAAAATCATCTGGTTTAAGTTCTTTTTTGCTATGTTAGAAATATAGCTGTTTGCTTTATTGGGAGATAATAAACTGGTGAATAAGCCCTCATAACAGATAATCAAAAATGGCGGACATATTCCATATGACAGTTGGAAAAAAATTTTTTTTTTTTCCTGAAATGTTTATTTTCCATGGAAAAAATATGAGCTTCAGTGGATTATTAAGTAAGAAATACCACTGAATATCACTTTCCTGTGGAGTGTTATGGACAAAATCAGCCCATATATGGCAGAATAGAACGTTGACAGAAGACAAAAAAAAGTACAGAAATGAAAATAATGAGTTATAATGTGATGACAGATTATTAATTATTGATGTTTGTGTAGTATTGTTGGCTCTAGGGTTGTGAAAGGTATCGATACTCAAAAAAGTATCGATACTCAAACATTGTATCCGGATACAATACTCATTTTCAAAAGTATCGATACAGTGCCACCACGAGTGGCACCTAAACAGTCATTCATTTAAAGAGCAGAATAGAGGAAAATGTACTTTCTGAACACTGTGTGATTGAATAATTCTGTGCACTTTTTAGTTTCAGACTTTTTTTGTAACAGGTGCAGCTGCTGAGAATGATTTTTGTTTCTTAACCTATTTGGCTAGTGTCATTGCAATGTGTGCAAAGCATAGCCAAGTAAGGAAAACTTTGTAAGTTTTTTATCAAGCTTGCTTAATACTGTGCACAGCAAACAACCTCAAAATATTGTTCTTATTGTTTATTGTATTTATTTATTGTAATTTAATTATTAATCAAAATATTTCTGTTGAAATTTGGAGTTTTTATCCTTGTGGTATCGAAAATGGTATAGAGTATTGAATATTTTCCTTAATATCGGTATCGAGTTGAAAAGTTTAGTATCGTGACAACCCCAGTTGGCTCTGAATTGAAGTGATAGTGGTTTTCTTTTGGATCGCCGGATTCTTAAGGGATACATGTTGGGTTTTGTTTACAGCTAAGTTTGCTACTCAATACCGAACAAAATGTGATAGCAACACACCCCCAGTCCAGGTGGTGGAATATAACGCTGAGTTCAGACCGAACGCGGCGGGTATTTCACCGCTCATAACTAGTGTTGCACCGATGCCATTTTTTGGTCCCGATACCAATACCCGATACCTGGCTGTGCAGTATCGGCCGATACTGATACCATAATAATGTAATAATTGCCAACATGGCTTTGTCAAGCTGCTGCCTACCTTTGTGAAGCAGGAAAAAGACTAAAACAAAGTGAATCCAGTAGCACTTTTTATTGCCTACCTGGAATGGGTGACAATAGTTGAATAAACTTTTGGCTCTAAAATGGTATCGGTGCCCTATTGGTTGGTACTTGCCGATACCGACACCACCATTTTAGTGCTGGATCGATACTGGTATCGGTGCAACACTACTCATAACTCGGATGCAGTGTTTGCACACTGGTCCGCATCATCATGTAGGAGGAGCTTTAGCAGCGTGAAAAACATGTTAGTCTGTCAATATGCTAATTTTAAAAAAATCTTCAAGTGGAAAAGTTTGAACTTCTTCTGGTTTGATTCTGTGAAATGTTTTTCTTCAAGGGACTATTTTTTTTTATTGATAAATCGAAAATAATCAGCAGATTAATCGGTTAGCAAAGTAATAATTTGCTGCAGCCCTAATATCAATATCTAAGGCAAAACAGAGTTTCATTTTATAGATAGCTAAATAACATAAGTATTCATAATATATTACATATCTCTCAGCACATAACAGTAATTAATACACAATAAAGCTTTGAGTCACATCACCCAGCCCTAGCTAAAAGAATGTTTTTTGATTATTTGCCTCATCCATAATCAATCAAAAAAAATTGTTAGACGCCAGACAATTTATTGAGCCAAAATAAGATGCTATGAAACAGGAAGACAGATTGTTTGATCAGGTCATAAAACATATCTAGGTTAGTAGGCCTATAAAACACCATTAGCGACCTGTAATCCTTTTATCTCCCTTCACATCCTTTAACTCCTGGGAGAGGCCTGGACACGTGTATCAGCTCTGCTCCGCCAATAAGCTTCATATGCAACTGTAATACTAAACTAAGACAAGAATACTGCCCTCATTTATAGAGCAATAGCAATAGATGCAGCCCTGTGGGATAAACAACCAATTATCCCCATCAATGCATTTCTTCACAACTCAACTTCTGATCACTTCAGTTTCCTTCCAGTTAGACAACATCTGTAATAAGCAACAATAATAGCTATCGGCGTTTCTGAAGAGGGTTATTAAATGTTTAATTTTATCTAGAACGAAATAATGAATATGAACGGGTTAAAAACATGAGAGGGTCCAACATCCGGGTGAGAGACCCGTTATTCATCAAGCAATGCTTTGAAAAAAAAAAAATAATATATACATTTCCATCTCCTTTTCTACCAGAATGATCTTTTAATTTCAAAGGGGAACTAGTTATCAGTATTTTATCAGCCGTTAGAAGAAACTATCCTACAGTACCGCTTTTTGCAATTAGCATGAACTGAACATTAGTGAAATATAAAGTATGTGGCACTAACAGTCTTTAAAACATAGTTTCGGCTACGTGTGTTCTTACTAAATGCTATACAACAGTTTAACTACGTTAAAATATCTTATTTGACCTATTTCTGGCTCTTCGTTAGCTTAGCTGTTAGCTTATTCAGCTAGCAGTGAGCTAAGCTACTTTACCGGTAGGTTTTTCTGGCACCATGAGGCGCCCCTAATTTCAAAGCTTATTTTCTTTTACCTGAGAGCAGACATGATCCAAAGCAGCAAAACAACAGAAGTTGTTCGAAAGGTTCACATTTTTTTTTCTTTCACTTAATCGCTCTGTCCAAAATGTGGCGCTAATTAGCGCTCAAAGGTGAGGCAGCAGGGGGAAGGAGAGAAAAAAAACACTTCTTGTTCTAACATTTTTACAAAGTTGAAATGTCGCCACCTTCCGTCGGGAGTGAGCATTACCTGATGTAGGAGCTTCAGCTCTTTAAATTTAGCAGAGGTAAGTAGAGTACCAGGAAATTGTTAACAAGTAACAGTAGCGCGACTATAATTATTACTCAAGTAAACATAAAATACAATCATGCAAATAATTATTTAAGTAAGACTAAACTAATTATTATGCAAAAAAGTCTTCTCAAGTTGTGAGTAATTGTTGGACCATTAGATATCCTTTAATGTTTCGAAAGAGAATAGAATTTAGAATAGAAAAGAATTCAACTTTATTGTCATTGCATTTTTGCACAAGTGCAAAGCAACAAAATGTAGTTTGCATGTATCAAGAAGATATAAATATTTATTTACATGTGCACAGAGACTATGTCTGTGTCTACTATCAAAGGTAAATATAAACAGAGAGTAATTGTAAAAGGCTATAAGATAAATTAATATGAAAAACTATATAATATAGAGATATAGATTATACAGCAAAGTCAGGATATGGATTATATATGTGTGTGTGTGTGTGTGTGTGTGTGTGTGTGTGTGTGTGTGTGTGTGTGTGTGTGTGTGTGTGTGTGTGTACAGTGGGGTTATAATTGAGGATAAATAATGACAGATAAAGCAGAAAAGAGATTTACCAATTATATACAGCTATAGTGACGGTTAACTGTCTTTTTTATTTATTTATTTTTTTTTTGAGCTTTTACAGCATAAGTGGCTTGTTTTTATGGACAGTAGGCTGACAGAAAAGGCGGTATAACAGAGGGGAGTAGATACATGCGGGAAAGGACCACAGGCCCAACTCGAACCCAGGTCACACACATTGAGGACCAAGGCCTTCATTCATGGGTCGTGTGCGCTAACCACTGCGTCACCAAAGTACACCACACTATAGTGTTTTTTATGTAGCAAAGAGGAGCCCCAATTATCATCTCTGCTGTTCTCCTCACCTTCTTCCAGTCTGAGGCACTGCAGCCTCCACACCACACAGTGAGACAGCTGGTCGGAACGCTCTCTATGGTGCTTCTGTAGAAGGTGGTGAGGATGGGTGGGGGTAGGTGGGCTCTCCTCATCCTCCGTAGGAACTTCTGTGCCCTTTTGACCAGCCAGGTGGTGTTTAGAGAGGCCAGTTGAGGTTGTCTGTGATGTGCACCCCCAGGAATTTGGTGCTGCTGAACACCTCTACAGGTAAGCTGTTGATGACCAGTGAAGCGTGGTTAGGCCGGTTCTTTCTGAAGTCCAACATTATCTCATTCATCTTCTCCACATTCAGAATCAGGCTGTTGTCTCTGCATCAGTCCACCAGCTGCTCCACCTCCTCTCTGTAGTCCTGGACGTTGTCGTCTCTGATGAGGCCCACCACCACAGCGTCGTCTGCAAACTTCACGATCTGATTGGTGGTGAACCTGGGGACGCAGTCATGTGTCATCAGAGTGAACAGCGGGGGGCTCAGGACGCAGCCCTGAGGGGAGCCTGTGCTTAGGGTGTTGACATCAGAGGTGTTCGGTCCAACCCGCACTGACTGAATGAATGTAAAATGAACCCTTTTATTGTCTTTTATTAATTTTGATTCTCTTTAGCTGGTTGTGTTGCCTTTATGCCACTGCAATGTTCTTTTCTTTTTTCTCTCATGTACAGCACTTTAAATTGTCTTGTTACTGAAATGTGTTATGTAATTAGACTTGCCTAACCATTTAAAATCCATTTTTGTTAGCAAAAAACTTCTGAAATCAATCTTTACAGGAGAATGGTACAAATGTTAGAACCAGATAAATAACTTCCACTGAAATATCTACTGTTTACTGTATTTTCACCTAATCTCCAAATAATTCAAATAACTCACAGCCATAAGTTTAACACAAGTAGGAATACTTAAGAAGAATATTACTCAAGTAAAAGTAAGCAGTACGGTACAGTAAAACTACTACTAAAGGAATATGTCTTTCAAAATTTTACTCAAGTAAATGTAAATGAGTGAATATAATTAGTTACTACCCACTTCTAATTTTTGCTTAGTTTTGTTAAGAGCTGCAACTAACAACTATTTTGCAAATGTTTAATCTGTCGATTATTTTTTTTGATTAATCGATTAATAATCTGACTTCCTCCCACATTCCAAAAACATGACTGTTTCTACCGAATGGTTTTTTATTTTTCTGGACAGAAGAAACAGTCAAATTTACTGGAAAGTTCAGTTTCTTTTGGTGATTGTTTTGCCTTTTGCAGGCCCAGATCCAGTAATGACCTTAAGGTTGGGTTCAATACCTATAAACCAGGGGGGGTTTGGACATGGGGCTGCTCAGTGGGCCGTGGGTACCACTGCTGCCTTGCAGAAAGAAGGTTCAGGGTTCCATTCCCAGCCTGGGATTTCTGGACCCCGCCTCTCTCCCCTAGACAGCTGGAGATAGGCACCAGCACTGTATACCAGCAGATATACAGATGGAAAGTTTTTTTTATTTTTATTTTTTTATCATAAATGCAAAATGTTTATATATTTTTTTACAATCGTGGTATAATTCCTGCTCTTAGTGTGCAGCTCTGTCAGCTAAAGGGATGTTTTACAGTCTGTATACTCCAGGTAATAATTAATTGATTACTGACTTAGTTGATGATTATATCAATAAACCAGAGGTCTTCAACAGGGGGTCCGTGACCCCTAGGGGGGGCCCGGAGGTACTGCATGGGGGTCTTGAAAGTTGTGGTGGATTCAAAATTTTTGTCTATATTCTCCCCTGTAATTTTTTCCACTAATTGAAATGCCTTTAAAAATACATTAACATGAATTCAACACAATGTAGTAAAAAGATAAATGGAGGCAGAAGATGTCTTTCAGTCATCAATGCACACATTCAGCGACACACAGGAGCTCTTTCAAGGTGGGCACCGTTTCATTCACAACACCTGTCCCATCAACCAGGAATCAGAAATACTTCAATAATCCCAGGGAGAAATTACTTTAATTACATTACTCCGTCTGTAGTTGAGTGACTATAGGACCAGTTTGATAAAATATTCGGGAGTCCCAGCTCCACCTTGCCATGAGTTTAGGGGTCCTTGGCCTGGAAAACGTTGAAGAACCCTGGTTTAAGTCAAGAAACATGAACTCGACTAGCAGGCCTGGAACATGAACTCGACTAGCAGCCCTGGAACATGAACCATCTTA